TTTTCAGTGTCTCATTGCTGCTCCCCTGATGGTCAGCGAGAACACAGCTCTGAAGGGACGGATGAGGATAGACCCTAGAGCGAGCAGGGCACCATGTTTGAGTGGGAACTCACTAGAAAAGTAGTTCATTTACTAGGGAATATTTGCAGTTAAAAAATTTTTTTTTAATTTCCCTATACAACTTGGTTTAACTGTGGGCCCCTTGTACTCGGAGTGGTCTCTTCCTGAGGCCCCTTTTCTTATCCCATGTGTGCTAACTTCTCTTGCTTGAGGACCAGAGCTCATCTCTCCATGCGCTTGGGTGTTTTGCTTGAAGATTTCAGAGTTCCCAGATCTGCCCCTGAGATCCTGGAATCTTCCATCCTCTCTGGGCTTAATTGAAGGCAGAGATGACCCGCAGAGGGGTCGTGGCTCAAATGTGCCGAAATAGGTGAGGTTGCAGGGCTGGACTTTGGGCTGTGTCAGTTGGGTCCCCCATAGGGGCCAGATGGGTAACTTGGGGGAAGTTAAATGGAGGGGCCGTTTGCAAGGCCATGGTCAGGGTGGGCTCCCCACTAAAAAGGATAGAGTACAGTAACAGGAAAGGTCTCGGAACAAGGAGATGGGGCGTGCTGCTACGGCCCTGGACTGAAGGCGGCAGGAGAACACAGTTCCCTGTGCAAAGATGGGTGTGTGCGGGGACCAGACGGGTACCGGGCCCTTCGGTGGGCTGGGGCCAGCTTGGGGTTACCCCACGGGGACAGCCCTGTGTGGGCCTCACTCTCTGGCGCCTCTGATTTCCTACCGGTTGTCCCGTTGGCTGAACGCGCCCAAAGCAGAGGGCGTGGGGCCTGGACGAGGCAGCACGGGGCAGGGGTCGGTGCAGAGGAGGGAACGGGGCGTAACGCTGCGGCCCCCGCCCCCCGGCTGTCTCCTTTGCCCCGTTCCCTCCTTGCATCTAGAATGAGCTGGTTTTCCCAACCAGAAAAGACCCCCAAGCCCTGGTATGATCAGCTCCAAAGTGACAGATAATCCAGCCTCTAAGTGTTACTGCTCCCTAGAAAATAGATTAAAAACAAAAAAAATCAAACCTGGATCAGATTTATGAAACCAAAGAGAAAACTCTTAGTACAGTTGGAGGTACCAGAGAGATTAAATGAAGTGGTAAAAACAAAACAAAACAAAAAAACCCTCTTTTTATTATGAAAAATTTTGAACATCTGTAAAAACAGAGAGACGGTCATCACCGGGTTATGACCAGGACAATCCACGGCCGTTTGGGCTTCCTCTGTACACCCGGCCTCACCAGTTATTTGGAAGCAATCTCTGACATCATGTAGTTTCATCTGTAAATATTTAGTCTCTATTTTTAAAAGATAAAGACTCTTTGAAAACTACAGAGTAAACTCCCGCCATCATCACATCTCAAAAGTAAACAGTAATTTCTTAGTTCTTCTGGTGTCTTGTCGTTGTCGACTTGGGTGGGTCGTTTTGAAGGGGTGGGCTCCTCCTGGCCCGGCGACCCCGGACCCCCAGCGGGGCCTCTCCGCAGGGCGAACCCAGCTAGAAGGCAGGGCCTCACTGGCTGCATGAGAAGTGAGTCACCGGAGAGCCTCAGTGTAAACCTGTCCATATTGGGAAATCGCACTTTTCCGGATTAAAAATGCTCCTGAGGATGCAGTGTAGACCGTCAGCCTTACCGTGATTTGGAGAGTCTGGTATCAATTCCTGCCCTCAAAGGCGGTGTTTCCCAGACTACATCTGGCTGAATCCACGTGTTCCCGGGGTGGAATCCAGGAATCCACTCTGGATTTGCATTCTGTCTGTTGAGAGAAGGTTCTCCATGTGTTTTATATTTTTTCCATATGCTTTTCTTAAGTCGCCATTGTCTGCCAGTGAGAAGATTCATTCATTCAACACATGTTAATTGAAAACGTACCGTGTGTCAGGCATGGTTCTGGGAGCTGGGAGAGCAATGAACAGAATGGGTAAGAATGTGGCCCTGATGGAGCTTACCTCCCAGTGGGAGAGGACAGCTGACTGGATGAACGATTAGAAAACGTACACGGAGGGGGAGGAGGGGTGTGTGACAAATGATGCTGTATTTTTAGGGTTTTATGCTCAGGGTTGTGATTTTATTGTGGGCTGCTATTGGAGTCCTAATTTTTGCTAGAAAAATGACTTCTTGCTTGCTGGAATTACGTACATGATGAGTGCATGGAGTCCTGCAGAGGGAAGCGTGGGCTGTGAGGTCTTGGCAAGGGTGAGCGCAGAACATCTCAGCTCCCCGGAATCATGGGCAGAGAGGTCGTCCACCTGGGCAGCCCCATCGTTCTGCGAGCGAGCTGGCCTCTGTGTCACCGGGGACCACATCCTTCTGTCTTTGGGTCTGGTTTGGTCCCTGGTGACATCAAGCCGGTCTTAGGTTTCCACGGCAGGGGCTGAACCCCATGCATTTTCAGTGGGGGTGATATCACCTCTGTGGGGTGAAGATTGGTTTTGGGGGCAAGGAGTCTGAGCTATTACGGTGGTTGTGACTCTGCAGAGTTGTATAGAGCATGTTTTATGTACGTAAGCAGATTTACTGTATCTCTGTGGCATCAAAATCTCACAGGATGGGCAGGGTGTTGGTGGATTAATGGCAGGGTGTTAGGAAAAAGGTGTCTAATCAGACTCTTGAGGGGGTGATGAGGAGAACAGTGGCTGAGAAACACTGAAGCAGCAATGCTGCTTTCTTTTCAGTGTCTTTTGTTTTTTTTTTTTAATGTGTGTGACTTATTCTGTGTGTGTCTTCTCGTTCTGGGCTTGCACCAGTGACATTTTCCCAGAGAAGAGCAATCAGACAGAAAATCAGCCGTGTTCTCTGAGCTTCCAGCAGCCGCTCAAGATTCCAACCTCGGTGATATTCAGACACGAGGAATCCATGCCTCTGTTTTGCTACAGACCTGGGTCCCTGGTGACCTTCTGTTGGAAAGACCCTCTTGCAGGGTCTTTCCATGAAGACAGGGCTGGGGTTTTAAATCTTCACAGCGATATTTTTTTACACATCTCATATTGACAATTCCAGGAACAGTTCTGTGTGCTCCTGGGGACCTGCTCTTTTTTAGGGACACGTGTAAGGACCCTGTGTGCGGAGCCGGGTGCGGTGCGTGAAGGGGGACGGTTGCAGGAGCTGCATGGGTCCCGCGGGCTCCAGTCCAGGTCAACAGCTTTGAGGCTAGTTAGTAGGTGCAACTAGTTGAGGGAGGAGGCCGAAGATGGTGCCTCCAGCTCCCAGGGGTCGGCTCGATGTTATGAAGATAGTCCTGCGGGCATCAATGCACGTAGCGGGCAGAATCCCCTGTCAGGCCTTGGAGAGTGAATAGGAGACATGCAAAGTCCAGATTGGGCAAGAGGCCAGCAGGCGACTGGGTGGCCCGAGCGCGGGCCGGATGACTCCACGCCGAAAGCATCCTAGTGTAGCTGTCTGAAATTCAGATTCAGGCAACAGACATTTGCTGATTACCTGCCACATGCCAGGCAGGGCGAGGGCTCGAGCAGACACCGAGAACACAACATTCAGATCGGTGTGCATTCTGGGAGTCATTCAAGCACCACAAGTGGCAGGCCCTGAACGTGAGCACCTTCTTAGATCTCACACCCCAGCCTCCCTGCTTGCCTAGCCCTAGTCCTGGCCCTGAATATCATTTCAGCCTCATAACTCCATGAGACAAGTACTGTGTATATCAGTCAGGATTCTTTTGATTGGGTTGTAAGTGACAGAAACCCCAGCGTAAGCTGTTTCTTTTGCTTTTTAATTAATTTATTTTATTTTATTTATTTATTGTTTCTGGCTGCGTTGGGTCTCTGTTGCTGTGCGCGGGCTTTCTCTAGTTGCAGCGAGCGGGGGCTACTCTTCGTTGCGGTGCGCGGGCTTCTCATTGCGGTGGCTTCTCTTGTTGTGGATCACGGGCTCTAGACGTGCAGGCTTCAGTAGTTGTGGCATGCGGGCTCAGTAGTTGTGGCTCGTGGGCTCTAGAGTGCAGGCTCAGTAGTTGTGGCGCATGGGCTTAGTTGCTCTGCGGCATGTGGGATCTTCCCGGACCAGGGCTCGAACCCGTGTCCCCTGCATTGGCAGGAGGATTCTTAACCACTGCGCCACCAGGGAAGCCCGGTAAACTGTTTTAAGCAAAAGAGGAGTTTGTTGGATCACATAAGCTGAAAGGTGCAGGGGCTGCTGGCTTCAGGAGCAGCTCCATCCAGCATTCAGTCGATGTCACTCAGCTCCATCTCTCAACTCTTCCAGGGGGTGGATCCCCTTCCCAGTCAGTCTCTCTGCTCATGATTGTAAGCCACTTCTGGGACCTCATGCTTCAGGGCTGATGTCTAGCAGAGAGAAGTGAGAATCTCTGACCCAGCATTTCCTTCTGAATCTTGTTACTTCTCCTCGGATCTCCTTGGACCATGTGCTCACGTCTGAACAGTCAGCATGGTCTGAGGAATGCAGTGCACTGATGCATTCAGGTCAGGATAGCAGGCTTTACTCTTAGTCAAGGATGGAGTTCCCTCCGAAGCACATGGGCTGCAAGTGGGGAAGGGATATCACCTGGAGGGAAGCTGAGGTGCCTTTATCAGGAGAAGGGTGAAGGGCTACTGGGTGACAAGACAACAGCTATCTATCACACCACTACTTACCACACCGGTTTATCGTTAGGGCAAACAGAGTTCCAATAGGTAAGTCACTTGTCCAAGGTCAAGTAAATGGATGGCTGAGATTCAGGCTCATTGTTTTGACCTTTCTGTTCTTCCCCACATCCTGGGCCAACCCCCTTCGTCTACTAGATTATAGACTCTGGGAGGTCAAGGGCTCCATCCCATCTTTTGGTACCAGCATCAAGCCCTAAAGAGAGCAGCTCTTTGATAGAAATCAAAGCTCCATCCAAAAAAGATTTCAAAAAATCTCCGACTTAACATTAAATTTTAAACCCAAGGGTTTTTTCTTTTTTTGTGTGTTTTGTAATGATTTTTCATTTCTTTCCAAGGATTGCTGAGGCAGCAAATTACAAAAACTGCTTGCTGTCTATGACCAGCTATCTGATTTCCCTGGAGGTCTTCCCGACGCCGAAGCTCTCCCAGAATTTATCGGGCTCCCCTCTCATCACCGTCCATCTCTGGCACCATTTGGTGAGTTCGAGTGAATTTGTCCTCATTTCTGTTCTTTGATTTCGTTTTGCAGCAAGGAATATTCGTATGTATGATTGTATAAAGAATCTTAGATGGATTGGTGCTGGCCAGGATTAGCATTTCCCTCCTTCTAGCATTCGTTTTCTTGGGATTGTTTTTGAACAGCAGTGGAAAAATCCCCCGGATGGCACTGGGGTTGGACACACAGTATTGACTTTGGGTAAAAAGGCTTCTAAGAACAGATGTCACTTTCATAGATGTGTGTGCCACAATCATGGGTATTTCTGATTTACAATAAATGTCGTTTTTGGAGGAGGGGGATATACTGACTGATTCTCCTTTATCTTGATAATAGACATTAGTAAGTTGGAGAGCTTGGTTCTCTCTGGGAAACACAGTTTAGTGTTTTGAAGAGACTTTTTTTATGCTTTCGGTTTTGAGTGATGAGCTGTTCGTTTTGCCCCACTGTAACTGTAATTCTCTCTGCCTTCAGTTTATCTTTGTCAGTGATAAGAACGACAAATGTACTGGGGACACAGATGTGTACCTGTCTTTTAAAAAGTACGATTTTCCCTGTGTCAGGATCGTGTGCTGTGATACAGTGTTGATTCGACAGCTGATGGTGTGACTTTTCAAGGAGTTTATTAAAAAATGCAATATATATATATGTATATAATTTAGTTTATTGAAGTGTAGTTGATTTACAATATTTTGTTAATTTCTGCTGTGATTCAGCTATACATATAAATATATATAGATAGAGATACACACATTCTTCTTCATATTCTTTTCCATGTTGGTTTATCATGGGCTACTGAATGTAGTTCCCTGTGCTATGCGGTAGGACCTTGTTTATCCATTCTATATGTACAGTAATAAGAACTAAATATAGTTTTGATTGCTTGAAGTCACACAAAGACGTTTCCCGCCAGGATTTTCTATTTTGTTCCGTTTTATACTGTTCCATCCCATTCCACCACCATTACCTGAAGCCCTACTATGTGCCAGCCTCCGGGTCCGTCCACGTGTGTTTTCGTCCCCTCCTCGGTGAGACGCCGTCGAGGGAAGCCAGTGAGTCAGGACGTAGCTGCTCTCACTGCAGCTCCCGTCTCACCCTGCCCCCCGACCCTCATTCCCCACGAAGGTCAGGCCCCTTCTCGGTTCCCTCAGAACCCAGCTCTGCCCAGCCGTCTATACTTTCTGGCCAGTGTTCGTCTGTATTTGTGCTTTCCCAGGCTGATGGCACCACCCGACAGCCGTTGCTCTGTTCTCTCTTTCATCCTGACCATTTCGCCGGTTTCTCACGTCCCTCTTGTCATCATTCCCTCCTTCCTCAGGGAAGGACGTTTTCCTTCTCTTCCTCGGGAACCTTCCCTCCCTTCCTCCGCCCCCGCTCCATCCCTCCCTCTCACATCCTTTCCATCCACAGGCAAACTGTCCTGACCTGAGAATGCCCCTCTCACCCTACCTACCTCTCTCCCTCTCTTTCTGAAGATCACAAAACATTTTAATTGTGGTAAAATACACATAACATAAAATTGACCTTCTGAACCGTTTTCAATCTTGTAGTTCAGCGATGGACGTTAAGTACGTTTCACATTGCTGTGCAGCCGTCACCACCCTCCATCTCCAGGACTCTCTTGATCTCGAAAAACTGAAACTCTGTCCCCATTAAACACGAACAGCCCCACGCCTCCCCGGCACCCACGCTTCTCCCTTCTGTCTTTATGACTTTGGCTACTCTGGGGGCCTCGTGTAAATAGAGTCATAGAGGGTTTGTCCTTTTGTGTCTGGTTTGTTTCACTGAGCATCAAGCCCTCAAGGGTCATCCGTGTTGTAGCAAATGTCAGAAAGTCCTCCTTTTTTTGGGGGGGGGGGCAGTGCCATGCGGCATGTGGGATCTTAGTTCCCCGACTAGGGATTGAACCTGCGCACTCGGCAAAGGAAGCGCAGAGTCTCAACCACTGGACCGCCTGGGAAGTCCCAGAATGCCCTCCTTTTTAAGGCTGAATCATATTTTATCGTGTGGATGGACGACATACATTTTGTTTATCCAGGCATCCGTCAATGGGCACTTGGGTTGCTCCCACCTTTAGGCTATTGTGAATAATGCTGCCATGAATGTGGGTGTGCAAGCGTCTCTCCAAGACCCTGCTTTTGGTCCTTTTAGGTGTGTGCGTGCAGAAGTGGCATCGCTGGTTCCCAGGTTCCAGAGATCTTATGTGATGTCCACCTCCCTTCCCTTCTTCAAACTATTTAAAGTCGATTTTTACTATCTCCACCTTCCATACACATTTTCGAACTGCAAAAATGGTCTCACACGTCTCCAGAGACCCCTGCTCACCTGGGCTCCGTCAAGGCCCGTGCCCCGGCGCAGCCCCTGACGCCCCAGCCCCAGGCTTGCAGTCCACGCCCTGCAGGTGCTGCCCTTTCCCTGGTATCAGCTTCACCTCTGCTGCACCACCTGCTCTAACTCGCTAACACAGGTGTTCCTTCAGCCCCTCTGCATGAACGTTTACTTCTCTGAATTCGTGAGGATGCCGTGATTTCAGCCGTCACCTCCGGGCAGATGTTCCCGATGACACAAAACCCACCTCTTCCCTCGGCCTCGCTCCTGTTTCCGGGCAGGTTCCTCAGCTCCAGGTGTGCAGGTGGGCACGTTACCCCCAAGCCCGCACGTCCTCTGTGTCTGTCCTCTGTCACCACATCGCCTTCTCTTCACTCTGAGCCTGGCACCCTGGCGCCCTCCTGGGTCCTGGTCCCTGCGCAGGACCAGCTGTGACCCTATTTTCAGAGCTTCCCTCGCACCTGCTCTGCCCCACCGTCCCTCCCCTGGTTCTGACTGAGCTAGAAGCTTCCTGACTCTTTTCTCCCTGCCTCATTCTCCCCGAGTTCCGGGCTTATCTTCCAGAAACACACGCCAGACGGCCTTACTCACCTATTTAAAATCTTTCGGTAGGGCTTCCCCGGTGGCGCAGCGGTCGAGAGTCTGCCTGCCGATGCAGGGGACGCGGGTTCGTGCCCCGGTCTGGGAGGATCCCACGTGCCGCGGAGCGGCTGGGCCCGTGAGCCATGGCCGCTGGGCCTGCGCGTCCGGAGCCTGTGCTCCGCAACGGGAGAGGCCGCAGCGGTGAGAGGTCCGCGTGCCGCAAAAAAACCCCAAAAAGCCCCCACCCTTTTGAACTTTGCAGTTTTTCACTCCACAGTCTACCCTGGAAATCACTCTAAAGCAGTTCATAGAGATCGTCCACATCCTTTCTTTTTTTTTTTTTACAGCTGCATAGCACTCTGCTGTGCGGATTTATTCAACCATCATGTGGTTGTCAACTCCCCTCCTGCATATGGGCACTTGAGTTGGTTCCAGTATTTTGCCAGCAATTTGTTGGAGTGAATGACATTGTTTGCCTGTATTTTCCGCCTCTCCCCAGGCTGCTCTCTCGCTCCTCTGCGTTGGCCTCTGGCTGTTCGGGGAGCAATGGAGTGACAAATAGCAGAGAGAACAGGAAGAGCTCAGTCTCTGCACATGAGGTCACTGTGCGAATGGGTGCTGCCAGCCAGATTCCTTCCCCTCTGCTGCTCTTGTGAGCTGTGTGTGTGTGTTTAATTCATTTCTGAAGATGCAGCATTATGAGCTGTCAACCACAGACAATAATCATCATCCAGATGACCCAGAAGAATAGCAGTACATGGGGAGAAGCATTCCCGGAACTCGCTGCCCCCAAGTGACAGTGCGTTCTTGGGCCCCAGCACAGGGGCCCGGGAAGGCGTGGGCAGGAAGCAGGTGCAGATGCCTCCTCCTGAGCTGAGTGCTGTTGAAAGCCACTGGGCTTCAGGGGTGGCTGGAGATGCAGCAGCAGATGAAACTGAGCGTTGCTATGCTTTTTGAAAACACAGTTCTTTTTTCTTTAAGAACACCACCCTTCCAGACTCGAGCAGCGAAGGAGAGATGTTTGGATAAGCATCCCTTTGTTCTGGAAGGCTCTGGGCAGGGCCTCCCTGGAGCACTGTCTTTCACTGGTCCTTGACACCTTCTTGTCACTGGAGTAGTTCAGAAGATGGTGTGGGCTAGGGGTGGGGAGTGGTGGGAGTGGGGGGCGGGGAGTGGGGCGGGGGCGGCAGGGGGGCCAGTCCATCGCAGATCCTTCTCACTTTCCTGCTGCAGCGTGAATTCCGGCTTGGGCTGGCCTCGAGGCAGCTGCTGGACGTTTTGTAGGAGTTTACATTTTTTCCTTCTCTGAAGTCAGGAAGGTGCCAGTTTGGAAACCAGAGAAAAAGAAAGGGTGGATTAGAACGCAATCTCTGTTGTAATGGGGGGTTACTGTAGTTATTTTTAAAAAAGAAAGTCTTTGAGTGAAGACTTGTCGTCCTGAGGAGAGGCGGAGAGGAAATTTTATCAAACCAACCGAGGACAGTAATTGCGGCTTGTCTCAGCCGAGCGTTCTCTAGGGTTTTGGGGGTTTTTCTTCTGAAGGTTGCTTTTGCATTTCTGAGGACGTTTTTGGAGGCATGCTCTTTTGAGTTAAAATGATTTGTGCGATGGGAAACTATTTTTGCGGAAGCCCGCGCCGGTGGGCAGGGGCGGGGCGAGAGGGGCTCAGCGGACACGTGGGGACGGTCCCGTCATCGTCGAAGGGTGCGTGGCTCGGAGCCGCTGCGCTTTAGCCCGGCAGTGGGGCCCGAGCTGACGTGGCATCTTTTCCTGGCACAGAGCGGGGACTCCCTGGGGTTTCTGAGGGACAGTGGCCGCACGCCGGTCCCCAGGCCTGTCCTGGGGGTCCTAGGGAGGACACTTAGTTAAATCCAAGCATGAGGGTTGGGCTTGCGTTTCTGGGACACCACGTAGTCATGTCATCAGTCCATTTCCGAGGACATCGGGTCCCATCAGTTAGTCCAGACGGTCAGGCTGCAGAGGGCAAGTTGGATCTGGACTTTCGTGAGCCCAACCTGTCCTCTGACCCTGGGCACTGTGAGACGACAGAGGGGGCCATGCTGAGGGGCCC